ATACCGCACGGATTAACTGTTTGTATGGCCTACAAATAATTGTTCTGGGTCTTGTTGTTTGGTCACGTGCAATCTATGTGTGTAAAACGTGACAACGCGAAAGAACCATCAAGAAACTCAGTGTGACTTTTTTTGAAATAAAATAATTTTACAATGTGGAGGTTCGGTTGCCACCTTAGACGACTCGACCTGGCAACGTACAACGCACGCACCCTGAGGACTGACGAGAAGATCGTGGAGCTGAAAGAAGAGATAAACAAGTTGCGCTGGCATATTATAGGATTATCCGAAGTCCGAAGAGAGGGGGAGGACACGGTAATCCTCGAATCCGGCAACTTGCTCTATCACCGGGAGGGCGACCATCTGTCCCAAGGAGGTGTCGGATTTATCGTTCACAAGTCTCTCATTAACAACGTTCTAAAGATCGGGAGTGTGCCGACGATGGTTGCGTACCTTATACTCAGAATCACCAAACGGTATTCGCTGAAGGTCATACAGGTTTACGCACTAACCTCGGCACACCCCGATGAGGAGGTGGAGGAAATGTATAAGCATATCTCTAGAGCCATGCATTCCTCCAAAACCCAATATACGGTGTTAATGGGAGACTTCAATGCAAAACTAGGCACAAGAGAGAACGGTGAGCTGAGAGTGGGGAAATTTGGAATAGGGCAACGGAACCCAAGGGGCCAGCAGCTGGCCGACTTCATGGAGAAAGAGGGACTCTTTATGATGAACTCTTTCTTCCAAAAGCGGCCGCACAGGAAGTGGACCTGGTCGAGCCCCGACGGTTCGAAGAAAAATGAGATTGACTTCATTATGACGACCAGACGACAACTGTTCAGTGATGTCTCCGTGATCGCGAGGGTGAAAACTGGTAGCGATCACCGAATGTTTAGAGGCACACTGAACCTAAACGTTAAGTTGGAGAGGTCGCGTCGAATGAAGTCAACGCTCCGTCCCCCTCGTGCTCTGTTCCAAAGTCCCGAAACTTTTCAGCTCGAGTTACAAAACCTTTCAGTGCCTAGAAGACTGCAATGAAGTGGACAATATGAATGACAAGCTCGTGGAAACTGTCCATGCGGTCGGAGCTAAGTTCTGCAAGACCCGCCGCAGAAGAACACAAAAACTCTCTGATCACACTCTTAATCTCATGGCTGTTAAACGGGAGATGAAGCTACATTCTTCAACAGACTTGACAGCATACAAGCATCTGAACAGACAGATCTCCAAATGCATGCAGCGGGACTTACGCAACTTCAATATAGCTCGTATTGAAGAAGCGATCGAGCGGAACCAAGGCTCCAAAGTCTTTGCCAGAGATCTGTCTGCCAGAAAGAGCCAACTGTCACAGCTGAAGACGGAATGTGGCAGCATCGTTTCCGGGACACCTGAGATTTTGAGTGAGATTGAGAGGTTCTATGGACAGCTGTACATCGTTGGAGCCACACGCAAGTGTGAGTAATGATCCAAGAGCGAGTCTCATCCGACACTATTCCGAAGATATCCCGGACGTTAGTCTGGGCGAGATTAGAATGGCTCTCCAGCACCTTAAAAACGGTAAGGCCCCAGGCGAGGATGGAATTACAGCGGAGCTTCTGAAAGCGGGTGGAAGACCGGTACTTGAAGTCCTTCAGAAGCTCTTTAATTCCGTCCTCCATGGTGGCATTACACCGGAGGCGTGGAGCAGAAGTGCGGTGGTCTTGTTCTTCAAGAAAGGTGACAACGCTCTCTTGAAGAACTACAGACCGATTTCCCTTCTGAGCCGCGTCTACGTGCTGTTTTCGAGAGTCATTACGAATCGTCTCGCGCGCAGACTTGACGACTTCCAGCCTCCCGAACAAGCCGGTTTCCAAAAGGGCTTTAGCACCATAGACCACATACATACCCTTCGGCAAATTGTACAGAAGTCCGAAGAGTACAATTTGCCACTATGTCTGGCGTATGTGGACTATGAGAAAGCCTTTGATTCCGTCGAAATTTGGGCGGTGCTGCAGTCCCTTCAGCGGTGCCAAGTTGACTGTCGATATATCGAAGTGTTGAAGTGCTTGTACAGTAGGGCTACGATGGCTATCCGAGTGCAGAATCAGAGTACGAAACCTATCCAATTGCAGAGAGGTGTAAGACAGGGTGACGTCATATCCCCGAAACTCTTCACCGCTGCATTGGAAGACGTTTTTAAGCTTCTGGACTGGAAAAGATACGGTATCAACATCAATGGCGAGTACATCACTCACCTTCGATTTGCCGACGATATAGTCCTTATGGCAGAATCGCTGGAGGGCCTAAGCACTATGCTCAATGACCTCAATAGTGTTTCCCAACGGATAGATCTTAAGATGAACATGGACAAAACAAAGATCATGTTTAATGTCTATGTCACACCTATGCCGGTAGTTGTTGGGAGCACTAAGCTCGAAGTTGTTGATGAGTATGTTTACCTGGGACAAATAGTCCGACTAGGTAAGTCCAACTTCGACCGAGAGGTCAATCGACGGATTCAACTCGGCTGGGCAGCGTTCGGGAAGCTACGACACATCTTCTCGTCAGACATACCTCAAAACCTTAAAACGAAATTGTACAGCCAGTGCGTGTTGCCAGTGATGACTTACGGAACTGAGACGTGGTCTTTCACTGCTGGCCGTATGAGGAAGCTCAAGGTCGCTCAGCGAGCTATGGAGAGGGTTATGCTCGGAGTTTCTCTGCGTAATATACTTATGAATGTGGATATCCGCAGTAGAACCAGAATAACCGACATAGCCCAACGGATTAGTAAGCTGAAGTGGCAGTGGGCCGGCCATATAGCTCGAAGAACCGACAACCGATGGGGAAGAAAGGTTCTCGAGTGGCAGCCTCGTACCGGTAGGCGCAGTGTAGGGCGTCCCCCTACGAGATGGAGTGACGACCTGGTAAGACGTGCAGGAAGTCGATAGATGCAGGTGGCTCAGGACCGTGCTTTGTGGCATTCTTTGGGGGAGGCCTATGTTCAGCAGTGGACTTGTGAAGGGCTGTAATGATGATGATGATGATAAATTTTACAATATGTTATTTTATGCAATTGATAAGAAGAGATTAGAAACAGCATGGTGGCGATCACCTCATTCCCAGGGCCTATTATCAGTCATGTACTCTTTAGTACCATAAAAACCCTTATTAACCAAAAAAAATATTCATATTTTCTGGGACTTTGTTGTAAAAGCGTATACATTGTCCCTTGAAAGAATTTCTTTCTCTAGAGTCGAGGTACTGATAGTAAATGCGTTGATCATGAGGTCCCGGATCCAAATCCCGGGTTTGACCAAGAATCAGTATTTTTTTTATAGGATAGGGTGACAAACGAGCACACAGTCCACCTGATCGTAAGTGGTTGCGCTTATTTTCTGTAGTAAACTTTGATAGACTCTAATGCATGGGAGTTTATGAAAAATGATAAACCCACCGGTAACTCATGCATTTTCTATGAGATACTAAAAAAAGAAAAAAAGGAAAGGGTATAATAATTGGAGCTTATCAGTGCATAGCAAACCCGAGCAAACCCATTTTTTTTAAGTATAGGGTGACAAACAAGCACGCAGTCCACCTGATGGTAAGTGGTTGCTGTGATCCAGAGACATCTACATTTATCCTCGTTTGTGAATCAAAAAGCAGATGCGTTGTCACCCGTGAGGACTAAAATGGAATGCCTCTTTTCCAGTAAAAAGGGTCTCCGGTTCTCTACACTCACCATACGAAACACAGCAGTGTTTAGCTGCTATTTTACGCTGGTATTCTGTGAGAGCGTGGTCTTCCCCGTTCGAGCCGACCCATTCGTGCTACAACTATACTACTAATAGCTGCAGCATGGCTCTACCACTCTACACTACACTCGCTCTACCACGTATACCTAATTGAAGTTTTTCTGACAAAAAACAAAGTTCTCAGTAGCAGCCCAGTTTCAGGCAGTTGGCGATGTTTCACCTCCATGCCCCGGAAATCACATAAAGCCGGTTGGTACTGCGTCTGTTCTCTCACTGGTCGTGTCAGATTGCCGTCTCATCGGACTATGAGAGTGAGGAAATAGAGAGTGCCTGTGTTTGCGCATACACTCTTGCAGTTTAATCCTGCACTGCACAGATAGCTTATGTCTATTTACCGCCGTGATCGAAAGTCAGTCAGAAGGACATTATAATATAATTATTATTAAAATAAAATTATTATGCACCTTAAACCTTATTAAATTAAATAAATAAAAATTGTATATTTCGGACAACTTGAATCCATAGAATTTGTTAGTAGATAAAAACTTACATCTATGTAAGTAATATAATTTATACCTAACACTTTATTATTAAGCAGGACATAATCCTGGCGATCGTATGTCTGATCAGTGGACAGTCCCTACTGTCGGCAATCTCACTGCTGCGCACTCTGTTTAGCAACGATGCGGTCTTTTTTAGGATTATTGCGTCAATGCTATCCACACCCGCCATTGCAAACATCGCAGACGCGCTACAGTAGCGCTGCAGCCGTAACAGCGCCCTGAATGCATTATTGTATTGAGTATGTAGGGCACTATAGGTCTTTTTGGTATAATTAGTTCATAGGCTGCAAGAATAAAATGACGCACAATATGCTTTGAAAAGCGTGATCTCGACAGCGTCAGTTTAGCGACCAAATCTATGCACCAACATATTCGCCATCACCGACAGTGCCCTACATTCTCTTTCAATGTCTACATCGTCTTTAAGACTGTCAGTCACAATATGTCCATGATATTTAAAACTATAGACCATTTCTAGTGTTAGTTTGTTATAGAATTATTGTTGGCTGCCAATGATTTTAGATGAGTTTGTTTGTGATAGTACGTGTTCGAATATGTTGAGCACGGTTTTGGGTCGATTTCGGCGTCACTTAAAATGTACACAATGTTCCGTCTATTTTCCTTTGTCTGTCTCAGATTAAAAATATTAAAAATAAATCTAAAAGAAAGAACTTCTGAACGGAATTTTCCAACCGCACATTTATTTAACAGCAACTAAATAACAAACAGTCAGCAAAAACGCGAAACTTAATATTTTGAGTAACAGATGCGCGAATATTACAGAGCATTCGCTCTCACCATAGCAGATGTGGCATACCAGCCATTCCAAATCGGGTTTGTCGGTTATTTGTACCAGGAGTTCATCAGCGTGCAAGAATACATATTGTTCTATTATATTCCAAACGTGCACAAGGGAATATTCTAGAACTGCTAGGGAAACAGCTATCTGCAATGTAAACATAGTATTATTTGACTTTTTTCTTTTTTTCTACAAGTTTTTTTCTACTATTATAAGCCAATGTTACACTATCTATACCACCGGATGGTAAGTGGTGATGCAGCCTAAGATGGTAAAGTGCACTGACTTTGCTTAACAAAATCCTATTCACTCTTGCCTTGAACACACTCACATTATAATCGGATGTAAAGACAGATCATCATCGTCGTCATCACTACAGCCCTTTACAAGTTCAATGCCGAATATACAAATACTTGTACCGTGCGGGATTCAAACCCGCGACCCTTAGTTCCGCAACTCATATATATATGCATATATATGCAAAATAGCAGCTTAATGCTGCTGTGTTTCGTATGGTGAGTGTAGAGAACCGGAGACACGTTTAATGGAAAAGAAGCATTCCATCTTAGTCCTCACGGGTGACAACGCATCTGCATTTTGATTCGTAATCGAGGACAGATGCAGATGTCTATGGGCCACAGCAACCACTGAACATCAGGTGGACTATGTGCTCGTTTGTCACCCTTATTCTATAAAAAAAACTCATTGCTAAGTCACTGAGTCAAGAATTTGTCTCTAAATGTTATCCCTCAGACATACAGTTTACTCATGTTGTCCGTCCCACCTGAGCACGTGGTAAGCCACCAAAATTGCTATTAGCAATTTTGCCGTGCCGGCAGGAATTGAACCCAGATTTTTCGAATACTGTGAATTTACAGCGAGCGCTCAGCTCCTTTTTTAAATACCTACGTATACCCGCCTCGCGCGGGCAAGGATAAGTTACGTCGGACTTGCACCGACTAAAACCCCTTGGTGTTCCATCTTTGCACCTTTGGCAGGGCCACGGGAATGCTTTCGCACATATCCGCGAGCCCATCAGCACCGGCCGCCTCATGGTAGTCCCTCCGGAAGAGGACTTCTAATCCTAGATTTGGTGCATCAAGAAGCTGAACCATATTGGCTCCTGAGCTAACATGGTTCTTGCGACACAGTAACATGAAGACCATCAGCGAATTAATGATAATTTATTTATGATGTTTAGTTTTTCATTATTTACCTCGAATAAGAAACATGCTGACGTATATCTTGCCCATAGGAACTTCGGGAGAATGGGCACTTCTCGAAGAAGGAGACACACGCTTAGAATGTAGACTAGAGGAGTAGAAAAATTTTTACCTTCAAGGATGGACGCTATAAGTATAAAAATATGGGTGTAACGGGATATATTAGGAAATACTGTTTTAATAGATCGGTAGGAAGTGCAGTGGCTAAGTATTTAGCAACGGGAGTACAAGACCTCGGGTTCGTATCCCATCGTTACAACCTACAAACGTTCAATGTTGAATATAGGTCTCCCCCATAGATTATATTATAGTTGCCATGCTTGGCAAGTGGATTGGCAACTGCAGTTTATTAATTTTAGTCGTTATTAAGACGACGCTGTTGCACGTCTCCTTATTAGTTTCAATCTGTCATCACTCACGACACCCACGGGATGATATTGGGTAGTGGATATTCTTACACCGCCACTACACGGTTCGTATCCCACACCAAACAGGATTTTTTGTGGACTACCTTCAAATATTTTATCTGTATGTTTGTCCATGAGCGATTTATGTACGTGAAAAGCTTCTACGATACATGAGAAAATACTAGGCGATATATTTATATAAAAAGCAACGTTTAAGTAACTAAAGTAAAGCCACATTGCCGCTTTGTTATGGTTGTATCAAACTCCCACGGAACACCATCGTGATATAGCAGCTTAATGATGCAACTGTGTTTCGTATGGTGAGTGTGCAGAACCGGAGACTATTTTGACTAGTAACGAGGCATTCCATCTTAGTCCTCAGGGCTGACAACGATTACTATATTTCGATTCTTAATCGAGGATAAATGTAAATGTCTATGGGCTACAGCATCCACTTACCAACAGGTGTTACTCGCGTGTCAACCATAGTTATAAAATAACAAAAAAATATATAATAAATTACATAAAACGAAACTTTGAAGGGTTTGCATTAACTAATGGACTTAAATAACTAATTTACACTTGACTGGACTCCACTCCTTGACTATGAATATATTGTAATATATTGTATTGTAATATGCACACGTATGTGAAACAAACGGTTCTTAATGCATGTAGCAAATGAGTGAAATAGTTTGCTAGCTTCAGTCTTACAATGTGATTAAACGTAGATGTTGTCAAGACAATTACTAATGCCTTGATAAAATTGTTGTTAATATTAGCTAGTGCGTTATCATATAGACCTACAATAAGCACTGACTATTTATACATAGATGTGTTGATAAATAAGCATTTATTATTTTAATTATCAATACTGTTTTTCTCAAGTCCACTGCTAAAAACAGACCTCTTCTAAGAAATATCTTCGAACACGGTCCTGATCCACCTGCGTCCATCAACTTAAAAGGAAATAAAAAACATGTACATATAAAATATCATGGTAGGTTTCGAAACTTACTTTTGCTTAGAAAAGTTACATTATTAATCAACAATGATAAAGCCAAAATTATTGCGGACGTGTTTGTCATCTCATTTTAAAGGTTAGAGCGTCTTTATTTAAGAAATAAATTCATAAAAACTAATAAATTCAGAAACTGTAACATTTATTTAACACCATCCTAAATGTTTTTTCGATGGAAATTGAAATATTGTAACTGACATGTGAAATTTAATCATAATAATATGACAAAGGCAACAACTATTCAGCCACAACTGTCAAAAAAATTCCAGGCGAAAAGTGGCCACTGACCACACGTAGTGATGCTCTTTGTCACGTTAATTAGTCTCATTTACCTTTGCAGGACTGCCATATAAACGAAGTAGACCAATGCTCAGATCTCAAATGGCACTAAAATGACGTCTTATAAATATATGGCACCAACTTTACATAAAACTTGAAAACACCTCAATCTTTTGGCACCGATTTATAAATCTAAATCTCTTTTTTTAAGACTGACACAGGTGTATATACTCGTATATGAGTCTCTCTAATTGTAGGAAGAAACCACACGACCACGCTCTCACAGAAGACCAGCATAAAATAACCGCTTTACACTTTATGAGTTTATCCATATCGTGAATTCGTAAATACTGGCGTATATATTATTTACACGTTTTAATACGTGGTAGAGCCACGCTGCGACTATTATGGTTGTAGCACGCATGGGTCGGTTCGATCGGGGTAGGACCACGCTCTCACAGAAGAGAAACGTAAAGTAGCCGCTTTATGGTGTTTTATTTCGTATGGCTAGTGAATAAAACCAGAGAACCTTTACAATGGTAACGAAACATTCTATCTGTACCGTTTGTAGAGCCATACACTTTCAAGAAGTAGAGTTGAAGTTAGTTGATGAGCACGTCAAAAGGAAAAAATCACCAAAGCTTAAAAGGTTTATTAAAAAGCAAAGTGGTTACAACTTGCCCGTACACCATCATAGCACTCAGGGCTGATGATGATTCTATATTTTCATTCTTAATTGAAGTTAGATGTAGATGTCTTTGAGCATCCACTTACCATCTGGTGGACTGCGCGCAAAAATATCAATACAGCCTTAATTTTTATATTTCTTTTTATATAATAAAAAAGTCCTGCTAGACAAATGCCAGGTCGGGTATATTTTTGCGGAACAGTGGTTTGTAAATAAATGACTTTCACTAAGTATTCTAGTGATCTATATTAAACAAAATTTATTGTTTTCTATTTTATTCAAGTTCACAGATCTTATTTATTACAAGAATTTTGTGGTATATGTGATTATGGTGACTTATCTCCATCAATAACGAAGGCAGTCAGTTTTAATGTAATTCAATAACAGTTTTTTTATCAAGCCGTCCCATCGGGCTATGAGATTGAGGGGATAGAGAGTGCACCTGTGCTTGCGTATACGCTCATGCACTATAATCTTATCCTGCGCAGATGGCTAGTCTCCGTTGAAAATGGCCGCTGCGACCCAAATTCAGTCTAGAGAATATTTACACTTAGAAAAACTTGCTCATTTGCCCCTTTCCTTTAAAAAAAATCCTATTGGTAGGTATCCAACGCACTTTAGCATTCAGTAGTTTTAGATCAATCCCAATAAAAATTCAATTCTGTTTGGTAAAACATGCTAAACCACAATCACATATAAGAACACTATTCGGCATTTTAACGCAAAAGACCTCAAAAACCTATTCGAATTTACGATGCAAACGGTCGTTAAACGAAATCGTAAACATTTTATATCAAAGCTACTAAATCTTGTTACAAACGTTGCGATGATAAGGCTAAGAAAAAAATGAAAGTCCGATCAAATAATCTCGGAGGATTTTCTAAAAACTGTCTCAAACTTCGTCTATTTTTGTTATTTATTAAAAACGTCATTAGTTTCGAAGTTATTGAACTGGATGGTGGATTGATTAGACACGGCGGAAAGCCAATATTAAGAAATGATATAAAAACTAAAAACCATCAAGTTTATTTTGATACGGATAATGATAGAAGAGGGTTAGACAGTGATGAAGAAATAAAGACTCTGTTGGAGGAGAAATACAAGTTTAGAAACGACGAAACGTCTACCAGATATAGAATTACACATGACGATAGAGAGTTCTCAGGTGTGTTAACAGTTGTTTTTAAAAACCTTACCTGTTAGGATTACACGAGGATTTTCTCCTGTTCCGTGGTGGCAGTTTACAAACATAAATTACACAAAGACAAACATCTGGATGTTGTTGATGAATAAATATTACGGATCTATTTGAAAAAAATCCGGGAATTAAAAAAAAGAAATTTTACATTTAGTCCTTTTTGATACGACTTCAAATAGAAAGTAGGCTATAACCTCCTTCGATGCGTATATTTTTTAATTTCATCGCCAATTTCTTGAAAACGTTTAAAACGATTTAAAAGATTATTTTTAACCCCTGACGAGAGGTGTTATAGGTTTGTAGAGTGTCTCTGTTTGTCTTTCTGTGACATTATAGCTCCTGAACGGATGGACCGATTTTGATTAAGGTTTTTTCGTTTGCAAGGTGTCTTAATCGAAAATGTTTCAAGAAAATCTGTTCATCCGTTTAGAGATCACCAGCTCTTTTTGCTTCGGGGATTTTTTAATTTTTTAAAGTTATTTTATTAAATAGTTTATAATTCAAGGGTAGTCCCTTATAACTTTAAATAAATTACACATCTGCAAACCTGAATAATATGGGATGAGGTTTTTTAATATAAATATTTAGACGACATTCTAGGTCTGACCTTGAACTTGTGATATTCTTTAGTATATATTCTTTATTTAAATATATTAAATTAAATATATTAGATATTCTTTAGTTAAAAGGCTAAAATATTATTTTTTTTATTAAAAAGTAAAAACCAACTTCAAATTATTGCTAAATAAGAATTTATGTTTTTGCTGTCCTTAGGGGTAGATATTTTCGTCAAATTTATATGAGACCACCCTTGAAGTTGGTTCTTAATCAGCGAAGATATTGTTACGAGCTTGGGGTTCGAGATAATGAAAAACTGCCGATTGAATTACAAAAAATTGACACTTTAATTACAGAACACTAATTACAACTTAAAACCACACTAATAACAAAACACAAGGGTACTACTGATCACTTTAGTTCGCAGTTATATCGCTTCGAATTATTTGCTTGTATCGCCAATTCAATACCGACTCGGTCGCGGTCTATACCGACCTTATATAGGGCCTTAGGTAGTTTCCAGAGCCTTCTATTGTAGTAACTTCTAGAATGTTCGAGTACATATCGGTCCCAATTGACTGTGTCGATAGTTCTAGAAAGTTCTCCATGAAAATTTCTAGAATGTTCTTGACACTCCTAGTTCTGCTACTCGAAACTAGAGGGCGCTAGTGGTAACTAGTGTCGCCATGTACCATGTATTAATTGTGGCGCGCAACAATATCATATGAAATTCCTTAAACAATAGTCCAATATGAAACTTTTTCCCCTATTTTCCACCCTTGAGAGAGGAATTTTTTTATACAAAATTTATTGGGACCACCCTTGAGGTAATTAAAAAAGAATCATTAAAATCGGTTTTTGCAATCCGCGAACATATCGCGTAATATACATACATATACATAAATATACACTCGAATTAGTAACCTCCTCCATTTTGAAGTCGGTTAAAAATTAAAGTCGGACCTTTAATTCTTCGATAACTATGTAATAGCAACGACTGCAGAAGCTATTATGTGAAAATTATTTTTATTTTATTTTTTTTAGTTTTTGAAACCGGTTTTTACTTTTTATCTATAAATTAAGTAATGTTAATTTTTTTGTTTTTGAAACCGGTTATTACTTTTTATCAATAAATTAAGTAATGTTGAAGTACGTGAGCGTAATTTAGTCACCTTAAGTTTGCCCTTCTATAAAACCGAAACTAGGATGAGGTCAAAGACCAAAACACAAAGTCGTATGCTATAACTAAGATATTAAGAAAAAATAGCAAATTAACTTTGTTTATAATTTATAATTAGGAACACTTAGAAAAATCTACTTAAAAATAAGTAACTACACCACACAACTAAAGTTACAATCTATATCCACTCAACCGTCCGCCCCGCGCGAGTGATTCTCGCCTGGCCTGTCCGCGCATTAAATGCCACTATTTTTACGACCGCGAGTTTGTCTTAACAAAAACGATTACTACTGAAAAACTACTATAGATACATTCAAATAAAAAATATTCTCAAAAAACTCAAAGAATTCAAAATTTCATTTTGTTAAAAGAAAATTAGTCAAATTAAAAATAAAGCTTAAATGGGAATATCAAAAAAAAATCGTATTTATTTTTTATTTTGAGTTTTAAAAGTAGTGTAATACTTACTGGAGACAATTATTTTATATTAAAATAGTACATGATATTCCCTTTAAAATGACACCAATATCAATAATATCTTATATACACAATATACATATTAAGTATATAATATTTACCCAATATAAATTTGAATAAATAAGTAAATAAATGAAAAAATTATGTTTTAATAATTTCTAGACACATCTCAACAGATATTTCGTTTGTAAATTGCTATCAACGTGTTAAATAGTGAATCATTATTTTATATTTTGCATTCATTTAACACAAAAAAACTGATTAGAATACATTTTAAACAACATATAATCAATAAACGATGATCGCGTATAGTGATTAAAATATAAAGCTAAATTATTATATGTAAACGTTTTGGAATTGTCGTAATCATACATATTTACTAAAGAAAATATCTTCACAATTAGTTTGATGTACAATAACATTAGAAATAACGTATAAAAACAGAAAAGTTATCACATTTTTGATCGAATTTCTTACACGTTAACATTCCACAAACAAAAATGGCGAAATTTAATTTTAACTTTTTTTTTTCTAAATATTTTGTTACTATTGTACAGATAAAATTCACTTTCATAGACGACAAGTTTCATATAGCACCATCTATAATTTTTTACTGTATTATTAACAGCTATCTTTTGCGCTGTACGCGTTTAAACCGAAAGATGTCGTTTGGTGCCTAGACAGGTGAGGCAATGATGTTTTTTGGGGACTATAGTCACCGAGGACGTTTGAGTGGATATACGTCCCACTACTGGGCACAGGCCTCCTCCCATTTCTGAGAGGGTTTTAGGGCAAGAAAAGTTCCGCCGCGCTGCCCCAATGCGTGTTGGAGAACTTCACATATCTAAGATGTATTTTGTTCTCTTATTTCTCAGAAGGTTTCCTCACGATGTTTTCCTTCGCCGGCTTCAGCATTTAAAATTGAAATTAACAATCTCATTGGATTCGGCGGGGATGGAACCCGGGTTGCTCGCGTGTTATAAAATTTACAGCGAGTGCCTGAGCTACTACGGCTCCACACTACTATAATCGACTAAAATATTGCTGTTCCCCGCGACTTCGCCCGCGTGTTATTTGGAGTTTTAATTTTTTTCGCGCGGAATCATAATTCTTTTTCTTTTTCTAAAATAAACGTATCCTAAGTTACTCCTTGTGACATCAGCTATCTGCCAGTGAAAGTCCCGTCAAAATCGGTGCAGCGGTTTCGGAGATTAGCCGGAACAAACAGACAGACAGACAGACAAAAATTTTAAAAATTGTGCTTTTGTTATAAGTACCGTATAAACTTTCATATGCATTTAGGAAAATGTTGTAATTTTGACATTACAAACAGACACTTCAATTTTATTTATTTGTATAGATAATGTCAACTCTTACAATGGCGTCGAAAAAGCAGCGCCCATTTGACCTTTTATTATTTAATTGACTGAGCTATCTTTTTTTTTAACTGGCTTTACGGCTCTGGGTTCTAGCCCTTCTGAGGACTGAGCTATCGTAGCTATCGTATCACAGAGCTATCTGTTCGAACAAAGCTGTAATTTTTGAGTGATAACAAAGTGGCCATATTAATTGTATCACCATTAATATAAATAAAAAATAATTTTATATACCAATTTTCCTTGTGTAAGCGATAAACCATCTTGTATGTGATAGATACAAAATAACGAAACTTATGATAGAATGCCACAACTGAGGTTCGAGATATCTAATACTGCAATCACCAAAACGTCTACCAAGCATGGTAATTATAGAATCATTGTAAAAAAAATAAGACACTTTTATGACATTTGTACATGGTAGAGTCACACTGCAGCTACAAGTATATTATGGTAGTAGCACGAATGAGTCGGCTCGACCGGGGAAGACATAGGCGGCCCCCATAGATTGCTTCATAGGGGGAATATTTGCCATAGATTGATAAGCGTGTTTGGCTATTGCAGTTTTTATTGTTGGTCGTTTTTAGGAAGACGCTGATGCCCATCACCTGATTTGATTCCCTCTGTCACCTCTTACGACACCCACGGGATTATATAGGGTAGTGGATATTTTACACCGCCACTGCTCGCTAAATGGTTGGTTGTAGAGCCCAACTGAATAAAAATATTTTGACTTGACTGCGCTCGATCAACTTAATCATGTTTGTATACCATATTATTTTCTTCTCACAGGATTTACAGAGTCACCAGACGAACAGCTGGACTGGGCATTCCGTTCGTATGCCGTCCGAAGAATCGTCGGTGGCATGGAGACGAGCATCAACATGTATCCGTACAATGTCGCGATATCTAGGAATGGAAAGCACTGGTGTGGGGGTGCTGTCATCGACGAGCAGTGGGTCTTGACCGCCGGACACTGCCTGGAATCGTGAGCTATATGTTTAATTGTATGCTAGATTAACTTCCAGAAGTTTCTATAGTATACCTCTTTAGAAAGAAGTTTCAGAAATTTTAAAAGTATATTCTTTAGACGCGCCATGGGAGTAGCTCAGATCTGTTTTCGAACGGAAGTAACGTTTAATAAAAGCTATAGTCCATTTACGTAGTCTCCGCATTTATAAATTCAGCGACTGGCTATGTTCGTGAGTTTATGTTCTGTTATATATATGTTGCCACCAACTAGGTTAATTAGCTGTTCAATTTACTAAAGGGCGCCGTTCAACTAGTGGCGTGTTACAACATTCCAACTATCTTGTAATATCAGCGACAGTTTGCACAGTGTGATAGTGTGACAGAGACATGGTGCAGCTGGGGTGGCTCTTGGGTCATCCTAAAGGCGCGTATATTATATAATATAATGTGAAAAGACTAGGTTGTTAATTGAACGGCTAATCAAGCTAGTTGGCTGCGACATATACACATAATATATACAATTTGACGGCTCCGTGGCGTAGTGGCTTAGTAATGAGTTGCTACGCTGGGGGGCGCGGGTTCGAATCCCGCACGGAACAAGTATTTGTATGGCCTACAAATAATTGTTCCGGGTCTGGATGTTTGTCCTTGTGCAATTTGTGTATGTAAACTGCCTCCACGATACAGGAGAAAATCCTAGTGTGGGGGTAACGATTGTTTTTTTTTTTGAAAAAAAAATTAGAAAAATTACTACAGACAAAAGCTCGGGTCAAAAGTTTCTTCGTATTTTATATGCAAATTGGCGACTTTTTTTTTTCAAAGTTTAATTACATTTAATTATAATATACATGGTTATTTTCAAAGAGTTTTCCAAATTTTAAGCTTACGTTCAAATATATAAATAATGCACATGTGGTACCCAAATATCGACTTTTATAAATGGGTCAAAACTGTTTTGTAGTCAATCTTTAATTAATCGACTATGTCGCAACTACTAATATGCTGATCTTGCTCCACTTTTTCAAAAATGGCATCGACTTTATCCGTATGAGGGATAAAGTCGAAGTGACCAGAACGAGCTGCATCTTTAACATCAAAATCCCGAACTGAAAACGCTTGAACCATGTCTTATAAGTAGTGATATTAAAACTAGTGAGATGCAAACAGGGCAACCAAAGAGATGTTTCTTCAATTTTATAGAAACAAAATACGCAGTAACTTTTTCCCCGACCATATCATATTATACTTAAATTCATTTATATTCTATGTTTATATAGTTCAATAGTAATAATTATTATTACCGTATTTATAAATATTTTATTAATAAGTAAAAATTATTAATAATTCAAATATAATAAAAAATAACAATGAAAAGAAATACATGTTATTAATATTTTTAAAAATAATTAAACTCAACCGCGGATAAAGGCTATATTCACGATTTTTTTCCTCGTACTATTACTTTGTGAAATCGTCTATCACCAGTAATTTTTCGGACCGTTACCGCTTGGGGACCTTCAAAAGCCTACTCCTTTTTGAAAGACCAGCAACGCCTTCAATTCCTCTGTTTATGCAATTGTTCATATGCAGTAGTAACACTTAACATCAGATGAGCCGCATGCTCGTTTGCCCCCTCCATAAGAAATCATAACTTAGTCATAAGTAGGTACTTTTCCTCCTTTTAAACATTAATCGAGTAGACTTCAAAAAAGGAGGAGGTTCTATGTTAGAATGTCTTTTTTTTATAGTATAAGTGTGACAAACGAGCACACAGTCCACCTGATGGTAAGTGATTGCTGCGGCCCATAGACATCTACATCTATCCTCTATTAGAAATCAAAATGCAGATGCGTTGTCACCCGTGAGGACTAAGATGGAATGCCTCATTTCCAGTAAAAAGGGCCTCCGGCCACCTGCACTCACCAAGCGAAACGCAGAGGTAAACCTCTACTTCACGCTGGTATTCTGTGAGGTCGTGGTACCACCCCGGTTCGAGCCGGCCCATCCGTGCGACAGCAAAAGCCGCCACGTGGCTCTACCACTGTTGGCAATGTATGTTTTTATGCACGTTTACAGATTTCTCCGTCAATTGCGGATTGATTTTGATTATTTTTTATTAATTAGGTTAACACTTCAGTGGTGGTGCCATATAAATTTGGAGAGGAATAGAAAAATAGAGGATAAGTTTTAATGTAACTATTTAGGCGATATTGAGATAGCGATATGCCTTTGTTCTCTCAAAATATAAAAAAAATACTTTTAACAAAAAATTAATTCTTCCTTTAATTCCTACACTGTATCTGTTAAGAAAATAAATAGAAGTAGGAAAATTCATAATCCCATGTTCTAATATAACCGAAACCAGTGATTCCATTGTTTATTGTAGTAAAAATCCCTCTTTTGAAACTGGTCAGAACAGTTGAAAGTCAGAACTGAAAAAAGAATTTGACCCTCGACATTTTTCTTTTTACTACTAGCGCTTTCGATGGTGATAAGAAAAAACTTACAGCCTACGTCGTGAGAGCGGGCAGTTCTTTCCATAATCGTGGAGGATACCAAGCCCGAATAAATAAGGTATAATATTTTTTTTATTATATTTTTTGTAGGATTCCCAACTTGACAGACTCTATACACACGCTCATAACAGTAGTTGACATATTCCTGTTTTATATAGATTGAGGGTCACAAACAAGCACACAGTCCACCTGATGTTAAGTGAATGGTGCGGTCCATAGCCACATCTATCCTCGATTAAGAATCAAAACGCAGATGCGTCGTCACACCTGAGGATTAAAATGGAATACCTCGTATCCAGTTAAAAGGCTCTCAGGTTCTCTTCACTCACCCTACGAAATACAGCAGCATTGAGCTTCTGTGAGTATTCTATGAGAGCGTGGTGCTTCCCCGTGTGAGCCGACAATACGAATAATTCAATATAATTCAATAACCTGATACGTAATAATATACACTATAATATATCTCATTATTCTTAATATTTCTTAATTTAATCTTCTGTATAAATTTAATTTCAGGTTTTCTTCTCGTCTGAATATACCCCCGGCAATGCTGACTACGACTACAGCCTGGCCCGTTTGGACAGACCGCTACCAATCGGGAGGAACATAGCAGTCTTGAACCTGCCTTCTCGAGACTATGTGATCAAGCCAGATGATATTCTCATTGTCTCTGGATGGGGAAGTACAGATGTAAGTTAGTATTTGGCTTTTCGGTTTTAAGAAACAGTACACAAATACACTATTACACAAGTGGTAAAATTAAATATTTTGTAAAACCGACTTCAATATAAATTCTTAAGTATAACTCAAAAACTACTGGTCAAGCTTTGATCAAATTTATATGGAACCACACGAGAAGCATCAGCTTTCGAATAAAAAAAAAGAATCATCTAAATCAGTTTACCTAGAAAAAAGTTATTAGGTAACACACATAAAAACCATACAGTCGAATTGACTACTTCCTCCTTCTTGAAGTCGGTTAAAAAGTGTACATTGTAAACCTCCCCCGGTCGAATCAACCCATTCGTACTGTAGATATATTTTCCATGCATGATTGTTCCATGCTGGAGTTTCGTTTGTCTTCCTGGACGTCAACATTTTTTCTCCAATTTTATGTGTGGGACCACCCCTGAGGTATAACCTCTTTGATATAAAATGGACCATCAAATATATACAAAAAAAAAACATACAATCCATTTAAAAATTTCTCGATTTTTTGAATTTGCTATTTCTTACATATATCCTAATTTTCTAAACTGAATGCACAAGATACTTTTCCGGTGTTCCCTCATTATCTTTTCCAGGAATCCGGTTACGGCAACATTCCGGACCGGCTTCGATTCGTTCCCGTACCGGTTATGAAACTGGAAGACTGTCAGGATGCGTACAAATTCTACATAACACCGAGAATGCTTTGCGCGGGGTACGCTACTGGTGGGAAGGACGCTTGTAACGTAATGATCAATTTTAACATAATATCTATACTTAAAATAACTTCAACACTTTCAGCATTTTAAAAAAAACTCAATATACACTTTAGAATTTCGTCTGTGTCGCTTTTTATAGTTGAAGGGTGAGTAACGACACATAGTCCACCTCATGGTAAGTAAATGCTGCAGCCCATAGACATATACATTGTCGTAGGCATTGTCACCCCTGAGTACTAAAATGGAATGCCACGTTTCCGGTAAAAAGGGTATTTGATTGACTATACGCATCATAAACACAACACAGCTGTATTGAGCTGCTATTTCAAGCTGTTCTTTTATAGTCTGAGCGTGACAAACAAGCACACAGTCTACCTGATGTTAAGTGCTGTAGCCAATAAACATCTACATTTATCTTCGATTAAGAATCGAAATGCAGATGCATTGTCACCCGTGATGACTAAGATGGAATACCTCGTTTCCAGTAAAAAGTGTCTCCGGTTCTCTACACCTGTTATACTGTCATACGTGGTAGAGCTATGCTGCAGCTATATTAATTGTATAGTTGTAGCACGAATGGGTCGGCTCGACCGGGGAAGGACCACGCTCTCACAGAATACCAGCGTAAAATAGCAGCTTAAAACTGCTGTGTTTCGTATGGTGAGTGTAGAGAACCGGCGATCCTTTTTACTGGAGAAGAGGCATTCCATCTTAGTCCTCACGGGTGACAACGCATCTGCATTATGATTCTTTATTGAGGATAGATGTCGATGTCTATGGGTCACAGCAACTACTTACCATCAGGTGGACTGTGTGCTCGTTTGTCACCCTATCCTATATAAAAAAAACTCACCATACGAATCATAGCAGCATTAAGCTGCTATTTTACGCTGGTATTAATCTGTATATGTATGGTATACTGTAAGATAATTTATTATTATATCGTTAATTAACAGCATGACTCTGGAGGTCCAGCTGTACGTGACGGCGTACTTATCGGTTTAGTGTCATTTGGAGGCAAACAGTGCGGTGACCCTCGCTCTCCTGGAGTCTACAGCCGTGTAGCAGAGGTGACAGACTGGGTGGAAGCAACAGTGACAGCCAATGAAGCCAGCAACGTTCCAGAGCTAAGACCCAAAATATTGAAAGCCAGACAGAGGGAAAAAGAACTGCAGAAGTAAGATATAAAAAAGGTTCTCTTAATATGAAAATTATTTGGGTCTCTTTATTATAGTTTTAATCATGTTTTACGTGGTAGAGCCATGCTGCAGCTATATTAATAGTATAGTTTTAGCACGAATGGGTCGGCTCGACTGGGGAAGGACCACGCTCTCACTGAATACCAGCGTAAAATAGCAGCTTAATGCTGCTGTGTTTCGTATGGTGAGTGTAGAGAACCGGAGCCCTATTTTACTGGAAAAGAGGCATTCTATCTTAGTCCTCACGGCTGAATACGCATCTGCATTTTAATTCGCAAACTAAGATAGATGTAGATGTCTATGGGTCACAGCAACCACTTACCATCAGGTGGACTGTGTGCTCGTTTGTCGCCCTAATGCAATATGAAAAAAAATGCTATCGCTTTATAGCCATAAAAATCTATGCGATACGTCCTGGATTCGAATCGCAGCGTCAAACTTCGTACAGAAACACAAACTATGCTATGAATTCTAGATGGTAGGACTTCTCTTCTGCTGAGGAGTCCATCTGGGTAGGTGCCACTCTTTTACATCTTTCTTCTCTTACTCTGAGAAGCTCTTTCATTTTCTACAGTCAACTCTTTCGGTCTCCCTTGGACAAAATTTACGATGTTCTCACACCACCACCATATTATAATTGATTGGCATCACATGGTTCAACGTAAATGAAAGACTATTATAACAATGAATTATAGTAAATAAAAATATGATTCAGTCACAGACTATAAAGTCTACTGCTGAACATAGGATTTCCAAGTGACGTACTATGCAACCGAGGGCCCCGGGGCAAAAATGAAATTCGGGCCCTATATGAAATAAACTAAATACTTTAAAGGTGTATAACTACTTCATCATCAGCTCCTTATCGCTCACTGTAGGGCATAATAAAGCAAAGCTACTACGTAGTATGTGTAACGCAGGAGATAATATTTAATCGTACTGCCTAATCTATTTATAGAAGGATAAAAGAGGATATCTTGAGTAACTGACTTATCTATCAAAGTATTGCCAAAGCCGCTATACGTAGAAATCAGGAAATTGGACAGTAGGTGCCTTTTATATCGTAGGCATCCACTAAGAAAGGATTTAAGAACATTCAACCTCTAAGGGGATGAAATACGGTTATATAAATCTATTTTTACGGATTTTATCGCGTATTTTAACTTATTTTAAATTCCCGACGTGTCGAGTACTTTACAGCACCCATGGTCATGTCATAGTTAACCACGGCTACCTCCAGATTAAAATATATTAAGTATTTTTTAAATACCCCCCCCCCCCCTTGACCATGGGTGCTGTAAAGTACTCGAAACGTCGGTGTTACAGTTTGTATGAAACTTTTTTATTTTACAGGGTGATCGACTTGAAACTTACTAAAGGTACTATGTATACCACGCAAACTACATACTATGTTTGTAGTACAAATAGGTCGGCTCAACCGGGGTAAGACCTCGGTCTCACAGAATACCAGCGTCAAATAGCAGCTTAATGTTGCTGTGTTTCGTATGGTGTGTGTAGAGAACCGGAGAAACTTTTTACTAAAAACGAGGCATTCCATCTTAGTCCATCTTAGTTGAGAATAAATATAGAGGTCTATGGGCCACATCATCCACTTATGACCAGGACTGTGTGCTCGTTTGTTACCTTTATTCTATAAGAAAAAACACGTAATAGAATCAAACTAATTCAAGAAAAAAGCTTACTCCTTTCTAAAAGGCTGGCAACGCACCTGTAATTACCCTGGTGTTGCAGTTGTTCATGGGCGGCGGTAGTCACTCTCCTATAAAAAATATATACTCAACACCCACAGATTCAAAGCCCAAGTGGAGGACAAAAAGACCAAAATCAAGGATTGGCTGCGTGAAACCCTTAGTTCGCCCACGTTTCTGGAGCTTGCGAAAAGAAAACTAAAAGAGGCTGGCTTAATTCTGAGAAGGCGTTTCAGAAGGGCATACAGTGAGAACAAAGTCATGGACGATAGAATGATGGATGACGCAAACCTTTCTAACCAGATAAACGAACGAATATTTGGTGATGAGGGAGATAACGAAGCGGAGGCCCTTCTCAGGATGATGGCCGTTCAAGAAATAATGGCGGATAGGAAAGAAGAGGCCGTTTTATACGGAAATGGGAATGAGAGGGGGGGAAGCGGCGATACGAGTGCCTTAATAGCTTTTATTACTTAAATAAAGGATTTAAAAAATTACCCGTTTTATAACACATATTTGTCTACCCTCTTGTGCCCTCTGTATACTAGGTCTGATGGATTATGAAACACGAGGTGTCGTTAGATTTATCCTAATGCAAAATGTGTCTCACGTATTACAGGCTTCCAAAAGTTCATTGCTGAGCAAAGGGTTCCTCCATATTTTGCAATAGTTGCCAAGGTCCTATTCCCGATGAAGAATCAAAATGCAGATGCGTTGCCACCACTGAGGACTAAGATTCTCCACACTCACAACACGACACACATCCGCATTGAGCTGCTAATTTGCGCTGGTGTCCTGTGAGAGCGTGGTCCTTCTCTGGTCTGGCCGACCTATTCGGATTGCAAGCAATTTTTTTATCTGGCTCTATCACGTTATTTCGGTTGTTATCAGGAAGATACAGCTCCTGTTTCCTCCTGCTACCATCCATTGCGATACAATACTGCTCCTGCTATCATCTTCTATTTCATTTCTCCCTATAACAACTGACGAAAGCCACAAAATGATATGAGGTAGTAAATATTCTTACGCTGTCACTATGTTGCATTTGATGACACTGCTATGTTTGTTTTTTATAGGATGGGGTGATAAACGAGCACACACCCCACCTGATGGTAAGTGGTTGCTGTGACCCATAGACATCTACATCTATCCTCAATAAAGAATCAAACTGTAGATGCCTTGTCACCCGTGAGGACTAAGATGGAATGCCTCTTTTCCAGTAAAAAGGGTCTCCGGTTCTCTACACTCATATTATATTAAAGATAAAATTTTGCGGTTTGGATCATTATCATCATCATCGTCGTTACAGCCCTTTACATTCACAAGTCCACTGCTGAACATAGGCCTCCCCCAAAGCATGCCACAAAGCATGGTCCTGAGCCACCTGCATCCATCGACTTCCTGCGTGTCTTATCAGGTCGCCACTTCAAGGGGTGGTGGTAATAGGGAGACGCCCTACAATTCGCCCGCCGGTACGAGGCCACCAATCGATAACCTTTTTTCCCCGTCGGTTGTAGGTTCTTCGAGCTATATGGCCGGCCCATTGCCACTTCAGCTTAGTAATCCGTTGGGTTATATCAGTCACTCTGGTTCTACTGCGGATATCCTCATTTCTAAGTTTATCACGCAGAGAAATCCTTCTAGTCGCTAGAGCTTCCTCATACGGCCAGCAGTGAATGACCACGTCTCAGATCCATAAGTCATCACTGGCAACACGCGCAGGTTATACAATCTCGTTTTCATGTTTTGAGGTATAGGCCCTACCTGACGAGATGTGTCGTAATTTCACGAACGCTGCCCAGCCTAGTTGAATCAGTCGATTGACCTCTCGGTCGACTATTACTACTGACATAATCTATATATAGTATGAGCCGTGGTAGCTCAGGGCCTGCAAATTTCACAGTACGCGAGCAACCCGGATTTTATCAGGGTCGGCACTAATGAAGTTGTTAATTGCAATTTTATGTGCTGATTTACTACGTGCTCGGCAGTAAAGGAAAACTTCGTGAGGTAACCTGCTTGTCTGAGAAATTAGATAAAAATATCGCAGATATGTGCAAATCGCCAACAGGCATTGGGGCAGCGTAGCGAAAATTTCCTTGCCTTAAAACCCTCTCAGAAATGAGAGGAGGCCTGTGCCCAGCAGTGGTACGTATATAGGCTGTAACTTTAACTTTTAACTATGTATATATAAGCGAAATACCACTGACTGACTGACTGACTCATCACGAGATCTTTAAAACTACTTATACACAAGATTGGCTTGAAATTTAGTATAGTTACCTACTCATTTCATAATGTAGGCGCTCACTTAGAACGGATTTCACGATAGTCCCATCAAAAAAAATTAACAGGTTCTGTAATAAAATATTATCTCGCGCCCAGCGAACCGAGCGGGTATCAGCTAGTAAATAATAACTACCAACTATCAATTATCACAGCGCCTGCAGATTTTAAATAGCAAGCAGTAAGCGTTTTTTATATTGCATTTATTTTCTTCTATAAACTCAGTTACAGTTTACACGTTTAATATTCAAGAACTAGCTGTTCCCCGCGACTTCGCCCGCGTGCAATTTAGAGTTTAAATTTTTTTGCGCGGAACCCTAATTCTTTTTCTGAAATAAAAGTAGCCTAAGTTTCTCCTTGTTACATAAGCTATCTGCCAGTGAAAATCCCGTCAAAATCGATCCAGCCGTTTCAGAGATTAGCTGGAACAAACAGACAGACATATAGACAAAAACTTTAAAAATTGTATTTTTGTTATTAATGCCGTATATACTCTCATATGCATTTAGTAAAAAGCTGTAATTTTGACACTATAAACAGACACTTCAATTTTATTTATTTGTATAGATATGATTAGGTATCATCATCATCCGCGTCATTATTGCAGCCTATGGACATATGTCTATGTTACCTTTAATGTTGTCTCATAGGGTTGCCTCATGGGGCTACGCTTGGTAAGCGGGTTGGCAACCTTGGTTTTTATTTATTTTATTATTAAAGTACTGCTGTCCATTTCACGACACACACGGTATGATGCAAAGTTTTGAATTCTGTCACGCCGCCATTACCTACATAGAATAGAAAAGTTAAATCATCATTATACATTTTTTTTATAAAATTAGTAATAAACGGTAACAGTTTACAGATGGCAAGTGGTTACTGCAGCCAGTGGCGAACTGCAAATAACTTTAAACAAAAAATGTTACAGCTTATACAGAAGTATTGTTACTCCTACATGGGATAGCATGGGCTGGGGACAAAAAAATTATCCCCCGATTATATCCACTGACAAGAGATAAAATTATCTTGTCCCTTTGTCAAAGCACGGCAACGGGGAGAAGTATATCCCCGTTTAACATAACGAGTGGACATGTATATATATACCCCGTCCGTAGCATGGAGCCAAATGAAAGATAAAAAATTATGCTTTTTTGATATTTGAAAGGGACAATTTTATCCTAGTTCATTGGACGTGGGTTTAAATTTATATTCATACAAACAATTTATCTAAGTCTATGTTCTATTTTATCTACTGTGGATATTATATCCACCGGTGTGCCCATGCTCGACGGGTGAATAAAACTAAGCGAGGGGATAAATATTTTCTCCTTTCCCCGGGGATAAAATTGTCTCCTGCAGGGCCAACATGGGCCTCAGCGCATATTAGCCGTGCAGCCCATGCTAGCCCTGCTGAAAACTGAGATGAAAATGTTTTATAGTCAAACAAGAACACATAGCAGTAGCGGAGGATAAAATGCACTGATGTTTGGCGCCAAAATGAATTAAGAGTTACCAAACATTATATATCATTATATATATATATATATATATATATATATATATATATATATATATATATAACTGCCATATAATGCCACTAACATATTATATATATATATAATATGTTAGTGGCAGTATAAGAATATCCACTACCCCATATTGTCCCGAGGGTATCGTAAGAGACGACAGAGGGAAGATGAAACAGTAGATGGGCAGCAGCATCTTCCTGATAACAACTCCAAATAATAAAAATCTACGGTTGCCAAGCCGCCTGCCAAGCGCAGCAACTATGGCAATCTAGAAGAGGCCTATGTTTAGCAGTGGATTTTTATAGGTCGTAATGGATGAAGGGATGGAACTATTACTATGTTAGTGTGTTATAAAGATAACAATAAAGACATTTTAATAAAATAAGGTGCCTGCGGGTAATAAGGCACGACGGCTAATAAGGCCTAAGTAACAAAAATCGTATTTATAATAACCATACTCGCTTAGGGAGATGATAACAGACTCCTATTGCACGATAATGTCTCGACAAGTTTGCAGAGACGCGCTACCCCGAGTCCTGCCACCAGAGTTTATCTATCATAAGATATATATAAGATACGACCGCACTGCACCCATAATAAAAATCAGTCGAAAATAAATCGTAGGTATGTTTTGTAATATAACACTTAGCTGTCTAAAGTCGTAATCTTTATCTTTATGAATAAATGCTTTGTTGATCTTAAAGATTTGAGTAACATATCGTGGCATTTTTTTTAAATTGGTTTTTTTTAAATAATTGGTCGACGGTTATTAAGGCCAACTAAATTTCACCATAGGCCTTATTATACTCCTCTTTCTTGTGTAATTTTTTTTTTGTTTTATTATGAATTTTATATCAATTTTAAAATGTTATAAATGCAAATTAATCGTACGCTTTTATAATTAAACTAATGTCGTACTCAGAAAAAGGCCTGGTTTCAGCTATCCACACAGTGCAAAGACAAAGTATGTCAAAGAATTAAGACTTTGACATTAGGAGCTATTAAATTAACCAGAAGGAAGTTAGCGTAGAACATTATTTTTTTTATTAAACTGTATGCCAATTATTTGCTCCTTAAATACTCCAGTAGAATCCGAAATTGCTCCACCTCTATTGCTATTAGTTAATTTAAAATAAATTTAAAGATAAATATAAAAGATAAAGATAAAGATACATTTATTGCATAACTGTTTACAATATGATCTTAATACAAAAAAAATTAATTATCGAAAATTTAATTTTGATATTAAACATAAAATCTTTCCATCTTTTTTAAATTCGATTGTTTAATTATTAAATTATGTGTAAATTATTGGTCCTGCGTTGTGCCTAAGCTCTCTCGGACCGTGTCGGATTGAGATTTGATGATTGTGAGGGAATAGAGAGTGCAGCTGTGCTTGTGCATACATACATTCGGATACTATAATTCTGTACCGTGCTGATGGGTTAGTCTCCGTTGAGACGGGCCGCTGTGACAGAAATTTGGTTGGAAGGACACTCGACTCAACAATAAACCCAATTCTCAACTCAACCTAACACTCAACTCAACTCGAGATACAACCGACGCACTGACGATAATCACGAGAAGCTGTACTAAACTAATGATTTTGATTAAAATCTGTAGATCAAATTATTTATTTCTGATTTTATTTTCGATTTTAGG